CTGCTGAACGTGTGCAGTGTAAATCCAAAAGGCTTGTAGGTCCTATTTTTGGCTAATTTTCCAAGAGATGTGCTTTATGCTAAAAATACTCTCCTTCCAGATTACAACTCCCAGCTGCACAGCAAGCAAACTATTGAAAGGAAAAGTAAAAAATATTTTGTAGTTTAACAAAACAACTGATTTCTGTAATTGGCAAATACTTGATTTTATTTTCAAGAGGTAGCAGGCAATAGCTTCACAGGGTAATTTTGAATTTAGTTCAGTCAATTCATGCTGCAGGAAAAAGTCTAAGTCCAGATTCCATTGAACCTGACAAAAGTTTGCTGTGCTAAATTCTTATGTGTAGAGTGAAGAAAATATAGAGAGATTTACAGGATCTCTGGATATTCTGTAAGTCTTCATATAAGCTTTCTAGTTGAATTTTCTTATTTCAAAACTAAAGTTGTTACAGTTTTTAAATAGTTTTAATTGTGCTTAAAAAACCTGACATTTCTAAAGAATTTTTTTTTAAATAGTGGATTTTAAATGATTAGGTTCTGTAGTTAAAATATGGTTAACTAGTATGACATTCATTTTGGAAGAAAGATAAAAGGTTACATGCTCAGTCTATACGATCAATGATTATCTGGACTTAATTAATCTTCTGTATCTAAGAGATTACTTAAATATTTTTTATTGTATTAAAACTATACCATACATGTTCCTGTCTGTTGCAACCGTGATGAAGCCATGAATATTTTTTATATGTTCTTACATCTTTTTATATGCCTTTTCTGCCCCTAGATCAGTCTGCCACAGCACAGCCGACTTATCTCCCTAACCTTATCTCCCTAAACTTATCCCCTCATACAGCTTCACTGTTTCAAACTCTGCAGCAAACACCTTTAGAGCTCCTAAGACATACCCAAGTAAAATCTTAAAATATCTATGGGGCAGCATTGCTGAAATCTTCCTGTTTTTTTTTGCTCTTTGTCATCTGCCCTTGTTGGTGCTGCATTTTAGTTTTGTATCTGAGACTGTGCCTGCCCTATTGCATTACTTGCCTGTTTTAGACAATAACACATACTTAAATAGTTATTTTTTTATAATTGTAACTTAGAATCTACATTTTTATTTCAATCTCTACACCTTCAAACACAATGTAATTGTGATTTGATGATTTACAGGAAAACTCGGAATGGAAGAATATGCTGTTTTCTATCCTCCAAATGGTAAGAATTGTACTGTTGCCTCCTCTAGTGGTAGACTGGAAAGATACAGGATTTTTTTTTTCTCAAATATGTGATAATTTCTTTTTCTATTGCAAATTATGTTTTGCTGTCATTCCCTGAAATGCATTAGTTTATAGGGGTATGCTGGACTGAAGCTACTCCAAAACCACGTTCAGTCTGTTGTTAGTAGTCACATACGGAGTTTGTCTGCGTGTGTGGGAAGGAGAAGGAAAACAACTTCTGGTGCAGCAGCTTGTATTCCTGTCTTGTATCACCACTTAGAGGATCTGAATGATACATGCTGAAACTGTCTGACCTGCAGCTTTTCAGTACTCAACAAACTACACCTTGAAGTCTTTTCCTTGCAAAATTTGTGGTTTTAAAAATTCAGACATAACTATATAATTTTAAGTTAGTATCATTGCTGGTGTTACTTTAGTTATTAAAATTCTTCTTCCAGCTCTTATTTTGGCCATTTCAATCCCTGTCTATTGAATCCTTTCCCAGGTTTTGTGCTGCATTTGTATTTTAAGTTCAAGATCTTTGCTCTTGCTTTCAAGGCCTTATGTCACCAATGTTAGGTCTGTGTCTCTTGCCTTGTTGTTTATGTCTTCTGTGTCCCATTGGTGTCAGTTGTAGCTCATGCTTTTGTTCCCCCTTTTTCTTTTGCCTCTGCAGTTCTTTGAGGCTTTGTAGCCATGAAATGTCGTTCTTACGACCTTCTGCCAAAGCATCTCCCTCTTATCAGTCCTATAGGAAAATTAATGAGTGAGAGCTAAGACCAGCTGGAAAGATCAGAGGAGAGAACTGTCATGATACAACTGTCAAGTCCTCTGAATGTTTTATCCAAGTACTTCATGAATTACTAGAGGTCTTGGCCTCCTGTTTTCCTGCTCCCTCCTTCTCAGTGCATGACATACAGAGGTTGTCATTTATCTGAAATTAGGTTCTGATTTTGACAAGCTTATGCATAATGACTTCATGGAAAAGGAGCTTTTTGTGGCTTTCTAGAAACCATAGCATGTGATTAAGCACATAGCTGATTGTACTGAAGTGATACAATTCCTCTACTTAAATATTTACAAGGCTGAGGTCTAAGACTGCAGGTGTCATAGCAAGGAAATATTTTATTCCTGTGGCAGAGTACTTTTTAGAAATGTGGATGAAAAAAATCAGTTTTCCATGGATTAAAAGAAATAGAACAAAAAAAGAAATATTTTTGTTTTGTAGGTGTAATTCCTTTTCACGGCTTTTCTATGTACGGTAAGTGTGACTTATAAAACTCTTAAAACCCTAGGACTGCTTTTTTCATATTGGAGTTTAAAGCTGTATCTGCAACTTTTAAATTTCTATGTATTTTGTTTCTTTGTGTATGAAGTCTGTCATGTATAATTTTAACAATTCCAGGCTGCTTCTGTTTGCTTACATTAGAGCTCATTGCTGTGTGGGACTTCCTTCTTTAAGAGCTGAGCAATATATCTTAATGTTTGTGAATAGAGAGATAAAGTTTGTTGACAGAGTGTTCTTTTTACTTCTGAGTAGACCAGGTTACCTGTGAAAAAGAGTTTTTAAAAACATGAATTGTGTGAAAGACCCATTTACCTAGAACAGATGTTAAAGGAACATGGAATAATGGAATGGTTGCTACTTTACTGCACAGAGGAAAGCTCAAATATCACCAAAATTTCTAGGAAAAGAGCAGAAAAATCTCCTCAGGTCTTAGACATAACAAGGCAGCTAATGCAGAGGCACTCCAACAGTGTGAGATTGTTTACATCTTTTCAATTTGTTCCCCTGATTTATCACAGGGCAAGCAGATTTTAAGATTATACTTAAAATGCTGTGTTTTGCTAATAATAAAGTTTAATAATCACAAAATCGTTAAAATCAAATGATTTAAATATGAAGTGCAAATTTGAACCTGAGCAGGGATTCTTAAATCTTTGAAGTAATGAACAGTTTAGTTACAAACTCTCTTCAGGGACTTAACTGGGAGGCTTTTGCTTTTTCTGCGTGAAACCGCTTTTCAAAATGTTTTGATTTGACTCGGCCCTTGAGCACAGCATCTCTCCAACTGGGTGTGAGCTCCTTCCCTCCTTCCTATCCTCTCTCTTTGCAAGGGCTCAGAATATGCTGGTTGCGAGAAGGAGCAAGGCTCAAAAGCAAGGCAGCAGCAAAAACAGTAGCGTACAAGTACGGTAGCTGGGACCAAGCAGAGCATCCTGCGTGTTCCCTGCTGGGCTGCTGTAGGAGGAAGTATCTGGGTCCTTATGTAAATCCTGTACACTTTTGCATATTTGCATACATACACTTGTAGGTTGCCAGCTCTCAGGCACTGTTCTGTTACCTTCCTGGCCTTTGTGAACGCAGGCACACTGCCCAGTCTTCCACCTCCATCCTCAAGCGTTTAAAAACATACGCGCTAGTAACACCCTCTGCTTCTCTTACCCCTACGTAAACACACATTTCTGTGAACATCTCGCCCTGCCTTAGCAGCCCACTTCTCATACACATAGAATCATAGAATGTCAGGGGTTGGA